CCGGTGTCCCTGCATGCCCCGCACGGCCTCAGGCGGCCGGCTAGACAGGTCCCGTCAGGGCCCGCCATTGTGTTGTTGTCCGACGGAGCGCAGGGGAGCGCACCGCTGCGGCGCACAGCAGGTCGGAGTGAATCTGTGAGCATTTCCACGCAGCCCGACTGCCTCCGTGCCTCCCAGCCTCCCTGCATGCCCCGCACGGCCCCAGGCGGTCGGCCAGACAGGTCCCGTCAGGGCCCGCCATTGTGTTATTTTCCGACGGATCGCAGCGGAGAGTAGAGGAGTGCGCCAAATCGTCGCGCAGTTGGTCGGAGTGAAACTGAGGACATTTCCAGGCAGCCCGACTGCCTCCGTACCTCCCAGCGACCCTGCCTGCCCTGTGCAGCCACAGGCGGCTACCTGGTCAGGTCCTTGTAATTTCCAGCAGTTGTGGTTTTATTTGTCGACGGAGCGAAGCGGAGCTCAGAAGGTCGGCAGGAAACTGAGAGCATTTCCAGGCAGCCTGACTGCCTCCGTGCTTCCCAGCGACCCTGCCTGCCCCGTGCGGCCCCAGGCGGGGTCTAGACAGGTCCCGTCAGGGCCCGCCATTGTGTTATTGTCGGACGGAGCGCAGCGAGTCGGAGTGAATCTGCGAGCATTTCCACGCAACCCGAATGCCTCCGTGCCTCCCGGTGTCCCTGCATGCCTCGCAGATCCCCAGGCGGCCCTCTAGACACGTCCCGTCAGGGCCCGCCATTTTGTTTTTGTCCGACGGAGCACAGCGGAGCGCGCCGCTGCGGCACACAGCAGGTCAGAGTGAATCTGAGAGCATTTCCACGCAGCCCGACTGCCTCCGTGCCTCCTGGTGTCCCTGCATGCCCCGCACGGCCCCAGGCAGTGGGCTAGACAGGTCCCGTCAGGTCCCGTCATTGTGTTATTTTCCGACGGAGCGCAGCGGAGAGTAGCGGAGTGCGCCAAATCGTCGCACAGTTCGTCGGAGTGAAACTGAGGACATTTCCAGGCAGCCCGACTGCCTCCGTACCTCCCAGCGATCCTGCCTGCCCTGTGCAGGCACAGGCGGCTGCCCGGTCAGTTCTTGTAATGTCCAGCAGTTGTGTTTTTTTTTTGTCGACGGAGCGCAGCGGAGCTCAGAAGGTCGGAGTGAAACTGACGGCATTTCTAGGAAGCCCGACTTCCTCCGTGCCTCCCGGTGTCCCTGCATGCCCCGCACTGCCCCAGGAGGGCCGCTAGACAGGTCCTGTCAGGGCCAGCCATTGTGTTATTTTCCGACGGTGCTCAGCGGAGAGTA